CACGATGCGTTACTCAAAAAGTGGAAGGTGTGCGTTGTTCTGATCCTGCAATGAGTAGCTTACCCATCGATAGAGAAAAGCATAAAAATACAAGATTGAGGGCAAGCTACTTATCGTGTGGCAAATTTCGACTGCCCTGGTCAGAGCAAACTCCCCTTTTGCAACTAAATACCTAAATAAGCCTTTACTGATGACGAAGAGCATTACGAACAAAATGGGCACGCTTTAACGGCACGTTGAAATGTTTCAGATGTCGACCGTCACCAAGTGAAGTATCAGTGCGGAAGAAAACACAAACATTCATGGGTCACATACAATCATTAACACGTTGACGACAGCGTGGCAACTGTGCATGCCGCCATTTGAGGCCGCGTATCACGTTGTGGCAACTGTGCATGCCACACACGTTACAATCTATTTTTTTTTCTTTGCACAACTTCCCAACCTTTTTGTGTTCGTTCAATAAGCCATACCTTATCTGATCAAAACCTCGTAGCTCACAGAATAGCCAAATCTTCCTTAGTTCGGCAGAAATTATCTGGTCTTCAGGAAACGAAAACGATCATGAGTGGACCTGGAGCTTCCGCAGCGAAAAATGTTTCGCTCTGCGAAGTGCGATAAAGCCGCTTTCTGCCCCCAGTGAACCACACTTCGGAAATTGTTTTCGGTTCATTCTTTGCTTTCTTTTTTCACTAACGCAAACATGTAAATGTGAGTAATGGTGCTTCTTTTACTGAAACAACCACGTCCAATATAATTTTGAAACCATACAGCGAAAATAAGCAAAATTTGCCTTCACAGTCATTAACACGTCATTTTGGTCGAACTTCCATTACTGTAACTCCTGATAAGTTAGACACATGGAACGTTATTGAAAACATTTTGCGCATTCAAGTATTTCACATTTACAGCTCGAAATCCGCGGATTTGAGGTAAGATGATCGCACTCGCGCCGGTCCCACGCGTCCAAAAAAGCCGAAACGCGCGATGTCGTCAACGTTTCAAAAAAAGGAAAATATATTTCATATATAGAAAATATATGAAAAATGAGTACTCACGGAATCGACAATAGATACTATGACTTCACGGACTCGCCGAAGCTTTGGATCATTGCTAAAGTCGAAAGCTAGGCCATTACTAGCGTTTAATGATCCTGCAGTAACTGATGAAGCAACGGGTTACCAATGGGAATTTGGGAGCACCTTCATCACGACTGCTCTGAAAACTTACAACCTTAAAAAGCGCATTGCATACGAAACCTTGTGAAGAATGAC